GACCTAACCCGAAACCTTGATTCTAAAAGCTATCGGTCGGCCGATCCCTCTGATCCGTCCACCGACCAGAGGATGGTTCCAGACCTAACCCGAAACCTTGATTCTAAAAGCTATCGGTCGGCCGATCCCTCTGATCCGTCCACCGACCAGAGGATGGTTCCAAATTTACGGGGTTTTACAACGCGTGAAAGAATCGTTCATTCACATCGCAAGGGATAGCTGCCCTGGGTAACTTACTAGAACAGAAACATCCACCTAAATCAGTATGACCTAACCCGAAACCTTGATTCTAAAAGCTATCGGTCGGCCGATCCCTCTGATCCGTCCACCGACCAGAGGATGGTTCCAAATTTACGGGGTTTTACAACGCGTGAAAGAATCGTTCATTCACATCGCAAGGGATAGCTGCCCTGGGTAACTTACTAGAACAGAAACATCCACCTAAATCAGTATGTATTGAAGATATATAAGCTGAAGGACAAATTTTTAAAATAGACCTCTTTAGAATCTTATTTTCAAAGAAAACGACCTCTTTTGAAAATTTGTCCTAACCTCAATCAGCATGTATTGAAGATATATAAGCACCCAATAGCGCAAAAAGATTACAACTTTGCATGATGTACAACAAACTGCCAATAACTCTTCCTCCAAAAATGACCAAGAGACACGTTTTGAATGTATTTCAATGACTTGGGGGGAAGTTTCGGTATTGAGAAGAGGTTTGCCCCAACCTCCCATCCTTAACAAAGTATCGAGAATCCGAACAAGTTTTCCTCCATCACCATCATGGAACCACATAGATGGTATGTGCACATAGATAATGATAGAAGTTTGAAGCATGTCTTATATTACCAGTTCATTTCATATTACTTATCTATGGATATAATACTTGCATTTCCCTGGTCAAGAAGATTGCAAGCGCAAGCAAAGGAACTAGTTATCACATAGCAATACTGATAAGAAAACTACTTTAAGACGAAGCTGTGATTATACAGCTCGAGTAAAAGACCTTCCCCTTCCAACACATTGCTGGGGCACATAAATGTTTAGATCAAGCATCAGACAGGTTATAATTCTGAGACAATCTAACTCCGGATGGCGCTAAGACTCTCAAGGATCAGCTTAACAGCAACCTACGTTAAAGTGGGATACTAAACTGTAAGTATCTGTTGTGTTTATCAATCAAGTCCTCAAACGATAAAATTGGTTTCACATGAACATTGACAGGAACCAAAGCATCAATATCATCATTATAAGCCTAAATCCACCAATACCTGTCTGCGTATCGATGCACGAGATTATAACACCTCATAAAACAAAAAGAAACATCTTGATTAAACCTCCTAATATCTTGTCATTCCTAGCCTTACGTTTGGTTTCAGTAATAAGTAGAAGAAGATATTAACAGCTACAAACTTTTGATCGTACTCCAGTTGCAATAAAATGGAATGTACTAACTCTACAAAACCGGTCCTTATAACTAATTTTGAATTAGGAAAGTAAACAAGGCTAATTATCCATGCAAACATGAGTCATTGATTTTTACATACATTGCACCATTTACCTCAGTCATCAAAAAGCTGTATTTAGGAGACCAGATATAGAAAGAAACCAATATATCGAGCCGAGCTTCAGCAGTCCAGGATCACTTATTTTTTGTTCTTTATGAATACAAAGGTGCGGTAAACAATAGAAAAACTTCTATTGAGATTTAACGATAGCCTGTCATGGCATATTACTTCTCCTTATGGGTGGGGAATCACAAAACGAAGAAATTTTATTTACACTGCATACCAGTTCCCCGCCTAAAGACAAAGGATGTAATATACCACCACGCTCTCAAACTTATTGCCAAGGTCCTCAGATCTACATCATAAGATCCTGTTAAAAAAAAAAGATAACTAAGTTCTCCATATGAATCTAGTAAAATAACAAAAAACTTGTAAAATTGAAGAGAAATCCCACTTACATTTAGAACACTCTTTTCTCGTCCTTTCGTAACAAATCTATTCCACTGTACAATATGACATGGGCGTGTACTTGCAAAACATGAAGGGGAAAAAATCATGTATGAAGCACAATTAAAGGTTTCCAGATGCCCAGAAAAGACACCTAACTGCAAAGGCATACTGTTGTATAAAATAGTTATGCATGCAGTATTTATGATTCATTGATTTGTTTTCCCTCAACAGCAAAGAGGATATACATTGTGAGAGAAGGACAGAAAAATATTTCTCTAATTGGATCAACCCTTCACTTCACATTAATTGCCGCAGCCATTTTCCTTAACTTCTGAGAGATTTCAGCGAACGACGGCCTTTGCCCTGGATCAGAGGACCAACAACTTTCCATCAAAGATTTCCACTCAGGATCACACCAAGTTGGAATTTGAGGACGCAATGAATTGCTCATTATCCCCCCTAGAAAAAATAAGAACAAAAGACTTAACGCGAACAGTTGATAGAGTTTTGTTGATGTAGGTCAGTAAAATGAAGAAATAATGTGTGGGTGTGCGTGTGTGAACTCTCGTTAACGCTGGGTATATATATGTTGGAAAAATGCAACTATACAAGCATCAACAATACGTATGCACCAACACTACTTTGTCATTAGCCTTTGTTGACATAGCAAGCTATGAATGCCGAAATTACAGCTGAGCATATCTTAGGAAAAAAATTTAGTAATATACCATCTTAACCATTCCAACCTTCCAGGTTAATTCTGCTAACATATGTTCATATTTAGCTAGAATAAGATTAACATATAGGAGAAACTAGGGATTACATAAAACTTTATCAACCCTTTGGAAGTGGGGCTCATATCTCATTAAACAGAGAAAGCTTTCAGCATGATTGGGTTAAATTTTAAACATAATGACCTTTGTAAGGACTAGACATGTCTTCAGAGTATCAGAATCATCAGACAATGAAAATAATACCAGATCATTAGAAATTATTAAAACTAAGTATAGGATACAAACATTAACGTCCATATAGGCGGTACATTTCTATGAACCACCAATAATTTCTTGGAAGAGGTGGCAACAGAAATCTAATAAATGTTTTCACCACAATATCAATAAATTGGAGATGCAGATCAGAGTAATGACCAGAAAGTACATGGCTTTTTTCCTTTTCTTTCATAGTAGGCCAGGACATTTCAATGAACCACCAATTTTGGAAGAGATCGGCAACGGAAATCTAATAAATGTTTTCACCTCAATATCAATAAATTGCAGATGCAACCAACCAAAATAAGCAATGACCAGAAACTATAAGCCTTTTTCTTCCTTTTCTCTCATAATTTTCTATTAAAAGTGGATAAGTTTAATCACATACAACTAAGTAACTATGAGATTTCTAATTTCTATTTAATATTTATTATTGCATTTGCAGGATAAATAGATACTCGGTTAAGTAGTACAGGCCAATAGCAACATTGCTAAATGAGCTAGCCTACAGGCATCTTAAGAAGTTAATGCTGTCAAGTGTTCGTGATTCTGGATGCAACATTGACGAGGCATAATTGGCAGCATCCATGCAAATAAGCCCGCCGTTAGCTAGTTCCAGATATGTTATATCGTAAATAAGCTTGCATGGTTCTACAAACTGTAGTGAATACAGTGGCATGCAGTTAGATACAGTGGTTGACATGTCTTCTTTTGAATATGAACTTCTCTAAAGACTGTATATGCAAAACAAAAACATAGATAGAGAATTGTGGTTAAGTGGAAACCAACTATTAAGTGTCATAATCAGCATGACACTGGATTGGTTGACACAGCAATTGTCTAAAATCCTGAGTGAAGACAACGGCTGTACATGTACTATCCTGTTAATTTACTTGTAGAACCGTATGTATGGTTTTCACTCTTATATAAAAGCTAATTTTAGTAAGATGATGAAGATAATGAGTCTCTTACAAAAATGGCGCAGCATACACCATCCAAACAAATTTTCAGGTGACTAATAGTTTATGCAGTTACAAGTGTTGGACACAGATGGAGAGTTTCCTTGGATGTCAAATATTCCATTTGTCGGAAGAGAATTTCTACATATGTATGGTTTTCAATCTTATATTAAAATTAATTTTCAGATGATCAAGAGGATTAGGCCTTATGAAAATGGTGCAAAACATGCTTCATCTGAAACAAATTTTCAGGTGACTAATAGTTTAATGCACTTACAAGAGTTGGACACAGATGGAGAGTTTCCTTGGATGTCAAATATTCCATTTGTTGGAAGAAAATTTCTATATAACATAGGTGGAAATGGACATTAGTGTTATGTTGTAACCGGTCAGTCCATTCTATTTTCCTTCTTTGCGCTATTAATGCTTGCTGTTGTCCTCACTCAAGTTGGGTTGTTCCGGTGCGGCGCTTGCGGTTTTTTTGCTTTTTGACGGGGGGGGGGGGGGGCGGAGAACCATGAAATTTTTCATTTTATAATAGTAAAGATAATAAGAGAGGTTTTATAGACTGTGGTCTGCCAGCCGACTTGCGCCCGAAGAATAACGTGCAATGCCATGTGACTCAAATCTGTTTACAGGAAAACTAGACAGAAAGAGCTGAAGGAGCAACCCACCAAAGAACCTCATAAAACAGAATACTTAAAATACTACAGACAGGAAAATAGATATCATACATCTACATTTAATGAGACTTGGTTTCTCAGCATGACAGGGAAATAGTTAGATAGATACTCAATGATTTTACTTGATCAGTTGTCCATAATCAAGATAAACGAGGAGATAAAAGTGTGAAGTCTACAACTTCCACATCATTTCATGTGCAGATATAGTCATACACTAAAAGTGGGGGCACCAAATACAGTTGAAAGGTTCCCAAGTCTGCATTAGCATTCTGAAAGTAGAGACATGTAACATATATCTCGTTCCCTACTAGGATTAGATATACTTTTCAGCTCCTATGATCCTAATATTGCCACAAAACTAAATCCTATTTCTCAATACACAAGAAGAAGCACAATACATAGACTACACAACCGATAAACTCAATTCCCTTTTCCCTATATCTTTAACCCTGACATGTGTTTCTTTGACAAACGCAATTTTGACTTTTCCAGAACCTGTAAACGGATATAATAATAATTATAGTTGCATTTACTCATTAATAATGCTAAAATATTTGTACGCTTCAAGACTTTCAAGATGTATCATGAATGCTAAACCTGGATTTCTTTGACCTAGACCTACATTATGTAAGATGCATTTTTATATTTTTGTATATGAGTAATTTGTGTCAAATCTTTACTCAAGGATGGCTTATTGCACAAATTAAAACTAAAATAGAAAACTAACTCCTAGAACAACCGTCATTGTTTAGATATATTATCAAACGCTGACATATGCTACCATGTTAACTATGAACATAATATCTAGCTATTTATCTTACATAACTAAAATACCAATCTAACTGAATTCATGATGTTACCAATTGATTGAAGGGACACATATGACATTTCTTTCTCAAAAAAGAAAGAGAAGCCTAAATTTCATGTGCTTGTATAGTTTTTACTATTGATTGAGGAAAATTAGCAAATTTATGGTGGATTTTGGTCAAATCTCACCATTTGCTCAAATATTAAGTTTAAATAATCAATTTTAACTTCATGCATGTGTTTGTGTGGGTTATTATGACAGAAAGTGAATATATGGTTAACTTGAATAGTTTATCTCAAAGAAAACCTATGTGATAGCTGAATAAGAACATCTAACTTGAAGGTCCGTGTTTATACGATGAAAATAAAGGTTTTCTGTCAAACTGACACCCAAAACTTTGGTAATTGAATATTAGGTCCATAAATATTCATATTTCTAAATTAGAGCCCAAAATCTCTTAAATTTATTTTGAAAAACACCCCTTGGATTCCATCCAAAAGTTTTACCAAAGTATCTTCAGCTTTTACCAATATTTGATAAATTAAATTACTACCCTTAAGGTACATTAATTCTCCTCTATTTTCTTTCCCAATCTCTCTCACATCCCTTGTCTTGGCTCGAGATCGAGAAGGAGAGGGAGGGAGGGAGGGAGGGAGGGAGAGAGGCAAGCCCATTAAAACGCACTAAAAATATGAATATTGCCTTCAAGGTTATAAAGATCCAAAGAAATATATACACTAACAGTAATAGTAAAAAGAAGTCAATAAAGATAGTTTTAACCAGGGGTGTTATTGAAAACAACTTAGAATGGGCTTGGGGTCTAATTCAGAGATATAACGATTTAAGGGTCCTAGTATGGCAAAAACCCAAAAATAAAAGAGGTGCATAAAAAGGATACTTTTCAAAATTCCTACCTGCAAACAAGTGTGCTAAAGTGAACCATCTACACTAATTATCTAGCAACCTTTTTTGGGGGCGAAATCACAGGCTTCTGAGCCATATATCCAAACATCAACCTGAGGTCATACTCCGTTAAAGTTGCTCACCCTAGCCAGGCTACTTGTTACCTTAAGGTTATGTATGACCTCAGGTAAAATAGTGAATCCTCATGTATTTCTTTTCTTTTCTTTCTTTTTTTAGGTAAAAAAAAACTGTGCAATATGCAGGAATTTTAAAAAATATACATATATATATAGCTACATCTATGCAAATGTAATACTATCAGCACTTACAAATTAATTCGCTAAAGTGATACCCCTTTGGCTCTTCATATTTTCCAGCACATTCCAATTTTAAGCTTTACTTCAAAAGTCCACTTATGTTATATACTTTGAAAATGAAATTATACATATTTAAGACAACTGTATTAAAGATGGTAAGCATGACACAGAATATGTATGGCACTGCCCTTTATAGGAAAGCTTCTCAGCTATATTATGTGTTTATTCATGAATAAGCATATTCATGCCTTTCATGATACATATAATATAGCATGTCCAAGCAAATTTTTTCAACACAAGCTCATTCGTGATGACCTATGCAAGTTGATAAGCTAATATTATAGCTTTTATCTTAACTAAAGTGCACGTAGAAACAATATATGAATACACATTTGGTTTGGAATCAAGAATAATCAACATACCCAGCAAAATAAATACTTCCTATCCAAACTAGAAAGTAGGATTCCATGCACAAAAATGTAAATAACTTGCCCAACTCAGTTCTCAAACATGAAGAGGCACAACGAAGAATTATTTTTACATCTGTGTACCAGAGGATTTGTGGCGTTGTATTTATTTTATTTTATTTTTTCTGGTTTGGGTGTCACATCAAACTCTATTGTGCAGTTTATGTGTGTTTGTGATCATTGTTGATCATTGTCGGTAATAATCTACATGACATAAGAGTACTTGTAAGAAGCTAGAGGAAGCTACCTCTAAATATCTAGCGAAGAAAATGATTAAGACTAGTTTGAGCATGTACAAGAAGTTCATTGATTGTACAGATACACAAGTATTCATATCCGAGGGTAGACAAGGCAGCAAAAGTTGAGAGATAAAATCTAAAAAAGTTATGGTGATTGCTAACTTAAAAGAGAATGTCACTTAACCAGACTAGTGGAGAAAAAGAATTCATATAACTGACCCTGTTGGAATAGTCGTTGATATTATTGTCAGTGCTGTTTGTCCGTCCAACTTCCCACTGTTTGACATTTTACTCCTCCACTTAACAAGAATTAGCTAAATAGTTGTATACATTATTCAAATTTTTTCTTCATGAACTATACATTCATCCATGTGTTCTCTTATGCAAAATTAGTTTGAAAACATTGTTGAATAGTATACATTCCCAAAACAACAACTTTGCATAATAGGGATGCAGCTATATCAAAAGAACACATATTTTATCAGAGTACATGTATTATAGAGAAGAACCGGAGACTAACAACCAGAGAACCACGGAAGTACGGAACTAGATCAGGAAAGCACCTGTCAGCTATCAGAATTTGTCAAGTTCAGAAACCCAATTACTAAGTATAGATGATCGCCTAACATAGATCAGCTTGAGCTATAATATATCAAAGAAAAAACATCTTAGACAACAGTTCCTACCAAAACTTTTGAGAAATCAATTAAGATTATTTATGTTGATTTCAAGAATGACACAGAACATAACAATCCACCATTTAAGGATTTCCATTTTAGATTTACATCTGGTCTGATAAAATCAGTAAGAACACACATATGATCATGACAATCTTCCAAATATCGTAAGAAGTATATGAATATTTGTAGGTAATACACTGATTAAAATAGGCAATGGAGAAATGAAGAAGAATGAGTACGCAAATCCTGTAAAGATAAATACAAGGAACAGATAAGATGTGCGAATTAAATATTTTTTAATAACGAAATCCTACCAATTATAGAACCACAGTGCATATCTCCATAAGGCTCCTCCCCAGTAAGCAGTTCCCACATTACTATTCCAAATGAGTAAACATCAACCTACAGAAACAAAAGGTACAAGTATGAAGAGAGTGCCGTAAACGTTTGTCTGAAACATGGGGAGAGAAATACATACAAAGCCGTAAAGATCCTTGCAGACACCACTAATAGGGTGGAAAATTCAATTATGGAGAATTACAGTTCCAATAGGAGTAAAATTACCTTCTCAGTTACCATAATATTCTTTCCACTTAGAAGCTCAGGTGCCATCCACGGTAGAGTTCCACGAACTCCTCCTGATACCAAGGTACGTTGTTTTACCTTTGATAACCCCAGATCTCCTATCTGAAAGGCGAAAATTTGATAAAAGAAGCACAGAAAAAAACCTCCTCAATACTTTTAGTTCAATTCTTTTAAAGTATCCCAAAAAAATCTGCAACCATCAAGCATAAGACAATATATACACAGACATACAAGCGTTCTTAAAATTTTTATTTTATCTTCAAACAATAAACTTTTGTTATACTATGCCCTTGACTTCCTCCTCCTTCATATCCTACAACTTTTATCATGGTCCAATAGTGTGGCTGTTGCTAGAGCCCTCTAATAAACAAGATCCGTATTTGAAAATATGGATCACTGAGAGTTTAATACACTACCAAAAATTTCCTAATACACTACTAAAAATTTCATCTAAGAGAGATATATACATGTTTTTTGGCTCATCTAGGACAACAGTAGCCATGTAGTAGTGCATGGTCTCGTATCGTCCTTCAAACTAGTTGAGAAATGTTGTATCCACCTTTCCTTCCTATTAGAAGATAAAATATTTTATGATAAATATCAAGGTTTTAAATATCGGATGTCGGGTTCATGTCGCTCGGCCAAAATTCATGTCGGATAGCGGAAATCGGGGATATATCGGGGGACATGAAAAAAATATCGGATTGCCATATCGGATAGGTTGATATAATATCATAAATGGAATCTTCACATACTTGATAATTATATTGTCTAAACATATGAAAAAGTACATATGAGAAGGTCTTCATTTTCACAAGCAACCACCAAGTTTTTGCTTTTGCATAGAAAACCAAATAGACACTAGAACAGCTTAACTGCATATGTTTAGACAATTCTTATTAAAGTATAATAATTATCCAGAATATAAAAATTACTAATACAATTCTTTATACACAACTTTATTTATTAATGTAAAGATTTATTAATTGTTCAATTTAAGAATTTATGTTATTATAAAAGTCACTTCATAATTTTACACTCAAAGAAAAAGATTACAAAAAAAAATGTTCACATACAAAGCGCGTGCATTATACTAGTAGGAACAAAAAGAAAATTCTACTGAAATTGAAAATTAAACTCGTAATTGCTATTCTAAACTACTTAATTGCATCGACTAACAATTGCAGGATTTTTATTATATATCTGTCATTTCTCCAAACAAGAAACTAGTAAAACCGAAAACTAGTAAAACCGAAGTATATGTGCACCTAATACAAATAAATTCATGTGTTCTTATAGCCTTCCATTGTAAAGAAAACACATGCAATAACAAGTAATTAAAACCTACAACAAGCACCCATATGGGTAGTGGATAGGAAACAATGTGAAACTTTACGTAAATAGAAGGTGAAAGATATTGCAAATCATATGATTTCAACATGTCAATGTGAAACCGATATTTCTGAATATATATATATATATGTGTGTGTGTGTGTGTGTGTGTGTGTGTGTATATATATATATATATATATATATCACACACACACACACATATATATATATAGGGAAAAGATGAGTAATAACTTATGTAAGCAATAAAACAATTTTCTTCATTCTAAATATCATACATATATTATCTTCTGTTGGTGTGCACTATAGCTTGCAGACACAAATCAGAGACTGAGACAAACTATTTTACCCTACCTTGCAAATAGGCCGTTGAGGATCTCTCATATTTACCAACAAATTCTCACACTTAAGATCAAAATGGACAATATTCTTTCCGTGCAGGTACTCCATTCCAAATGCAGCATCCATTGCTATTATTAGCCTTTTGCGACGATCAATCGTTCTGCTAATAACAGATGTTGTTAACTATTAAACATAGTTGGCAGCAGCCAAATACATGTTAAAACCACTAATAAACATCCTATAGTATATGGCAACTGCAAGCAAACAGAACTACACAAAGATCATATTAAGCTTGTACCTATCTTTTTTCTGCAAAAATTGCTTCAGAGACCCATTGACCATGAATTCTGTGACAGTTGCTAAACTGCCATCAGGACCATCACGGACTACACCATAAAAAGATACAACATTTGGATGATGTAATGAACTTAATGTCAAAGCTTCTTTCCAGAAGACTACACCATAAAAAGATACAACATTTGGATGATGTAATGAACTTAATGTCAAAGCTTCTTTCCAGAAATCTGCAATCTGTAGAAAAACATGAAATGATTAATATCAGTAGCCTAGCCAAGAGTCTGTAAATAGTTCTTCTCAGAGAGAATATATGATAGTGATAATGATTTTCTAAAATAAAAAAAGCAAAATGGACAGTTGAAGCATCTTGGTGGAGTGATGCACATATGAACTGGAGAAGCCAGACATGAAAATGCAAATGCAATGAAAGGCAACATTTCTCAAATAGAAATCATAGAGCAATTGTGTTTTCTATTCATGTATTCACCTGGAGTAGCTTAAGATTTAAGATCATAATATGTAACATGTATCATAAATGTATGTCATATCGCATTCCAGAGAAGTCTACCTTGTGTTTGTGTTTGTGTGTGTGTGTGTGCGTGTGTTCAGAATTAACTAACTACATGCAGTGTCTTTGTCAGACTACTTGTGTCACTGCAACATAGGGATCATGTCTTAAGCATCTAGCTTTTAGTTAGTAGCCCTACTAAACAAATCAAATCACCAACCCAAATAGGTTAGTAGAGAAGGAATTGGAAAATCGAAGTTAAATAATATAAGCACAAGCAGAAGAATGGAAAACTCAAATAATTTATTGTGACAACAGATGCTCTGGGGACTGCGGAGTGATGCCCTATTCTAGATTGAAATTGACCTCAGACATATCTCAAGGGGCTAAGATCACATCAGCTCAATACTCATAGTATTGCTGCTGCAAACTCGAGAGTGCAATTCATCTGCTAATTTCTTGTCTCTCCAGCATTATGGAGGTCGAGCATATGTCATATTTTTAGGGCCTCAAAATAACAACTGCCGAATCTGAGAAAGATAAAAGGGAACTAAGCTTTTATACAACTCTTTGGTTCATAATGATTGCAAAGCTCTACTAAAAAGAAGAATCCTTGGACATCAATGCCGGCAACAAAAGTTAGTCAGAAATTCCATGAACATTTGCATATGCATTTAGTAAAGACCAAATGAAACACCATCAAACTGAAAATTATTTCAAAGGCCGCCAAACTAAGCCTGTTAAATAAATAGTCCAACCTGAAGCCCTCTGAAAGATAGAAGAGAATGACTCAAAGTTGTACAAAAGTGGATGGAATTTTGTGCAAGTTTCTAACTCTGATGTCAAACAGCACAAAACTATGTAAATGCCCATGAAATTATAAGGTTATATCACACTCCCTTTCTTGTTAACCACGATACTACTTATCACTTATGCCAAATATGTTAAACATGTGATTTAGGGCCGCTATAATTTTCCACTTCTTAAAGAAATTGAAGTAAGCCTAAATATAGAGAAGCCCATAAAGTCAGTAATCCATCAGATTGAAAGCCTATTAGACATCAAATAGTAAATGTTAGAATAAGTTAGTCAAGCAGTCATATTGTGGCATAGTTTCAACATGTATGGCAATAGGAAAGCAAGAAACAAGAAGAGTGAATCTTGCTCAAAACCAAAGATAAAAAGGAAGTTGTTTCTCCTCTCTTTTGGAAATTGAGAGTGAATCTTGCTCAAAACCAAAGATAAAAAGGAAGTTGTTTCTCCTCTCTTTTGGAAATTGATCTAATTGTCCACAATCAAACTTCATGCTCCTCTCTTTTGGAAATTGATCTAATTGTCCACAATCAAACTTCATGTACCGCTAATTCTTAAGTCAACGCTATGTAATTCCACATTAGTCATCTTTCGCTAATTCTTAAGTCAATGCTACGTAGTTCCACATTAGTCATCTTTCAAGATGTAACCCTAAAAGCATAAAAGTGATATTTCTTTTCCTCTAAGGGCCTGTTCGTTTGCCTTAAAAAATGGAAAATCAAAGAAATAGAAAACTAGTTCTAAGAAAAATGGGTTTTTGAATTGTTTGGTTGGCTAAAAAAAAGGAAATCAAAGAAATGGAGATGAGATGAGATGAGTTGTCACATTATTATTGGATGATGTGAGTGATTTTTTAAGAAAACTAGTTTTGATGTTGTTCGGTTGGCGAAAAAAATAAGAAAATGAATTATAAGAAACTTATTTCCTGTAGTTTTGTTGTTTTCTTTTGTTTGGTTCATTCTTAAAAATAAGAAATGAAATGAGATGAGATGAGTTGTCATTGTATTATTGGGTGATGTGAAGAAAGATTAAGAAAAGTGTTTTCATAACTTTTTGGGATGAAAACAAAGAAATGAAATGTTAATGAGATGAGGTGAATTGTTATAATATTTTATTCGATGATGTGAGTGATTTGAAATGATGAAAAGAGATGAGTTCAGTGATGTTTGGATGAAAATAATATTTTATTAGATGTGATGGATGAGTTGTTAGATGAAAATAATATTTTATTAGATGTGGTGGATGAGTTGTTAGATGAAAATAATATTTTATTAGATGTGGTGGATGAGTGGTTAGATGAAAATAATATTTTATTAGATGATGTGGATGAGTTGTTGGATGAAAATAATATTTTATTGGATGTTGTGGGTGAGTTTTAGGGATGGAAATTGAAGAAATGGATTATTTTGAGATTTCCACCTTTTCCATTTCCATTTCTTGGTTTTTAGGAAATAAACGAACAGGCCCTAACATGCCCATCTTTCTGTTCCGACTTTCTTGTTCTTACCGTATCCTCTCGTAGTGATTCTATCACATACTTGAATATTGTTAGAGAAATAACATCTATCCACTAAGCAGTTACCAAAACTTTAACAGAATGAAGATCCACTTCTCAATAAATGATCAAGCTTCAAATTTCTGAATTCGCTCACAGCTACATGACACATGTTATCGCTTTAATTAGTAGAACAGTATTTCAACTTCTGCCTCTGCAGGTTATTTGTTGCATTATGTTGCCTCATACTTTCATACATCTCTCCACTTCCGCCAGGAACCGCTATATAGAGTTATAGACTCCAAGACTTCTCTCATGAAACCAAAGGGAGCTCCTTCAAATTCCTCATAGAATATGGAAGGGACTGCAAACGAACTAAAAATTGATAGATTTGATATAGAAAATGTACAATCAGAATTGGTTGTGAATCATTCTTGACATCAAATTTATCAACCTCTCCTGTCTTCTAGGTTATTAGTATATAAGAATTTTCCATGACTACCCTTGGTTACGTTAGTTTGAATTGCATGGCCAATAAGGTAGTTTCGCACTTGTTAACTGGTCAATATGTATTGTGTACCCTACCCTTACCTTTCCAACCCTCCATCCACAAAAAAAGAAAAAAAGTTAACCCACTAAAACCACATTTCTCAGTTTCCTCCTACTCTTCTGTCCTTGTCAATGTAGTTTTCATTTCACTTGCTTAGAGGGCAATTGTCAAGTTGGTTTTCACCTTTTTGAATGGTAGTTCTCAAAAAAATGTACTTCTACATTAAAAATGAGGGTAAATTTGCCACTCTTGACATGGAGCCTCATTGCTTATAATAGATTCTCTTTGACGGGAACGATCCGATGATAGCAAAAATTGAATGATAAGAGTACAAAATATGCAACAGTAAGATGGATTACGATATGTATTGGGTCCTACAGTTTAAGAGCACCTTACATTGGGAAGTTGATACTTCGTTAGAAGAATTTTCTATGATTCTTCTACATTAGCTGGTGATGCACACTGATCACATGGTGTAGGATTAGCACTTTCGTTAACTATCAATAAAAGTTTATATGTATGGAAAGACTTCTTAAGCATGTGATGTGTTTCTAACTTTCAAATATATGCAAAAGAGTGTTTTTCTATTCCATGTCCAATGTATCAATAAAATTAGATTCAAAATATGACAAGTCATTTGATACTCACAGATATTTTAACCATTGAGCAATATTGCAGCTTTTCGTTTGTTTAGGGAAATGGAAAATTATATACTGATAAACATTCATCATATGAGTAAAAAGACCCATGTGGACTTCACAAAGTTGTCAACCAGTCTTAGGTAGAAAAAGAAAAAAACTTATTTCCAAAAATAAGAAAGACAACTGTGCTGTTTTCAGAGATTTGACAGAAACAGAATCCAGTGACTAAACCTTCCACATTAATTCCCCCGTAGTATGACCATGCTAGTTATCTAGCAACATAACAGAAGATTACAGATTGGACGCACAAGCAATCACATAAGTATCCATATAAGATCAGTTAGAAATGTTTTGACCTACCAAACGTTCTCTTTCAGACGGCTTTCCATTGAAGCAGCTAGCTTTAATCCTTTTTATGGCAACATCAGAACCTTTCCATTTGCCATGGTAGACAGATCCATACGTACCCGACCCCAGTTCTCTTATCTCTTCCAAGTCATCATTTTTTATTGTCTGTATGAGGAATAACCAGATTTACTTGAGATTAGAAACACCAGTGTGGTAGCTAAGACATAATAGCTAACAAATTTACCTGCAATCCTTGAGCTAAAGCTTCAGCCTCAGCTGTCGTAGGCTCAATCTTAGAAATATCTTTCTTCTCAATGTCTCCATCCGTTTCAGCCTCCAATTCAGCTTGGCCATTCTGCAATGAAAAGATTATTATGGAAAAGTAAATAGCGTTCGCTAATCCTTTAACAGAAACACTTTTGACCTTGCTCACCCCAGCTCCCAATTCGTTTGGAGATGGTTCCTTTTTGTCTTCGGGATTTGCCTCAGCCTTAGCTTTGACCTCCTCAGCACCTTCCAGTGCTACATTCTTAACTGAAGCAATCAGCTTGGGCAAGTAAGTCAAACATTCAGGTGAGGTGACCCATCGTTCATTGTCAACATTAGCATTAGCATCAACAACTTTGGCCACTTCAGTAGGTTTCACCACTTTCATATCATCTTGTTTCACCTCCTCAAGTCTCGTTCCAAGGCTTACCTCTGAAGCAACTATAATCCGCTCCTGATTCACAAGGTTTGGATTCATTCTAGCACCATGGTCATCAACACCATAATATTTCTGAGGTAAACTTCCATTCTGTCCATTCCATGTGCCCTGGACTTGATCATCCACTCCAATATGAGGAACCCTCGGGCTCCCATCATGCGCACTCCTCACAAAACCATTTGCGACCAACGGCCCCGGTGGATCATACGGTGCTCCAGACCACACTGGGCCCTGAGCCCGCCTCCTAAGATTTTGAATTGGGGGCAAATTAGTCGGCATTTGATGTGGATTCTCAGCTCCAAATTGTGAAGGGTGATGACTTCCATGCCCAACTGCTTGCTGCCCAGGAAACACTTCACCCCCAAACTCATTAACCGGGGTTGGGGTTGGCCTATGGTAACGGCCATCATCACGCCCATCATAGAAATTCCCATGCGCAAAAGGAACGTTCATCATATTCCCATCAACAACATAGTGATCACCCATTCTACCTCCCTGATGCATTCTAGGATCCTCGACTCGATGACTTCCCTGATGAGGATGGAGATGCCACCCACGATCATGACCATGAGCTTCATTGTAAAAGGGTTGTTCCCTGTTCCTATAACAGTCAGCACATGACCCCGAGATCTGACCCATGTACTCATTTCCTCCAGCTGGCTGATTCCACCTAGGATCAAGGTACCTAGGGTCTGAAACATGAACCTGGCTCCTTTGATAACCAATTCTACAATGCTCGCAAGTGCTGTTGCCTCCATCGAACATATTGTGTGCATGACCAAGATTTCCAGGAAACCCAGCCTTCTCTTGAACAATTGCCCCCGGAGGCAACCACATCGTGTTGTCCACCAAAGGAGGAGACTGCTGATCGAATTGCGACGCTGCAGCGGGATCATTGTACCTCGCCGATGAGGGCGAATTGGGGAATTCTCGCAGATCTCGGCCCGGCGAGGGCGAGAAATACGCAGGGCTCCAAGGTCCATCCTCTCCATAACGAGAATGGGAATGAGGAATATTAAGCTGATGAAGCCCAGGCCCAAAGAATTGATCTTGAATCTCGTTATCAGCTAAACTATTGAGAGCATCAACATACCTCCTCTCGGTCTCTCTTTCGTCAACATCAAAGTGAACAGCAGCAGCAGCATCAGGATCAGGATTGTGATGCGAGAAAAGGAAAATCCGAAGGCGAGTGA